ATTCTTCTGTGAACAGTAATTATAATTATTGTGATTTTGTACTAATAATGTGTATAAAATGACTAATTTCAGTACTTTCTATTAAATCCAATAATTAAGAGGACTATTCTATCAAGACAAAAAATGTCAAGACTTAATACAATTTAAAATGTACAAATCACTCAAAAAAATAATGAGAATGATATATTCATAAGATTTCATAATAGTCTCCCTCTTTTCTCTCAAAAGAAAAAAGAAAAGAAAAGAAATCTTAAACTAGTTTTCATGGAATATCCATCTAGCCTCTCCTCTTTTATTCTTCATGGGTTTAAATTACATTATTATTATTTTATTTATATATCTACATATGATTAGCAAACACATTAATTCTCTTAATGATCTATCAGGAGAACAGAGCAAAAGAAGAATGAAAAAGCCATGCTGAATTGGTCCCTAAGGACACCAGACCACAAGCAGGAAGCAATTTTCCCAGTTAACCATAATTCTAAACCTCCATTTCAAATTGAAACAACATTAAAATTAAATTAAATTAAAAAAAACTAATACCCATGGCATTTTCACTATAGATTGTGTTTGCGTACCACATAACAATGTTTTTTTTTTGTTGGTTTTTTTCTAGCTACTTGTTATTTTTTTAATTTAATCATTTCAAATTTAATTGATTCAATGTTAGATTAAGTATTTGGCTTGATTAACTTTGTAATATTTCTCGCAATGTTTTTTAAAAAATTAACATTAAATCAATGATTAATTAGATTTAATTAAGAACAAAAATGACATTGAAACTAATTCCTATACTTTTTTGTTTGTTTGTTAGGTTAATAAATTAGGTTTTTAGAGTTTTAAAAAGTATTTATTAAATAGTTAAGGTAAAAATGAGTTACGAAATAATTTTTTAAACAAAAACAAAACCTCTAAATTTTTCACCATCTTTGTTGTAGTTGAGTTTCGAGCAAGTAAGCGTAAATTATCTACACCGGTAAGTTATTTGTTGTCTATTGTTTTTTTTCTTATTTTTCTAAAGAAAATTAAATTTAAAATTTTTTATCAATCTCATTAAATTAATAATAATAGTAATAATAATAATAGTAATAAGTTAAGGAAATCCAACATGATAAATTAAGGAAATAGTGTGATTCAAATCTCTCGCCACGAGTAATAGGAAAGATCAGATTTGGAACGTGTAATTCAGGCGTACCGGCGCAGGCATCGGTACATTTCAAGTGATTATTGAGAGATACAATGCATTGCCGGGTTGTACCAAAATCTTTCAAGTGATTGTTGAGAGATGCAATGCATTGCCGGGTTGTACCAAAATCTTTCTTTTAATGGCTTCGTTTCCTCTATTGTTAAAGCAAACCCACCAATCCCATGCAGGGCAGAAATCCTTTCTCAACTATACACAGCTTGGCTGAACTTTTCCGACCGCAAAGGTATTCTATTTGATTTTTTTTTTCCTGTCAATTAACAAAAAGTATAAATGTTACTTTTTGTAAAATATCAACATTTATTTTCTTTCTTGTTATTTACTTGTGTTTTTTTCACAAAAATACGTTATTTTTAATGGCTAATCATATGGAACTAAGACTAGACGAGGGAGTGTCGGTTAAAATACCATGCA